AGTAAAAAATCTCAACAAAAAAAAAAAAAAAAAAAAAGAATAAAAGAATAAGGGTATTTTCTTACCTAGAGTACAACTGTTAGCTTTAGGAAGTTTATAATGATGACATCGTACTTTTATCTAATTTACTGCCCACCTTCTAGTTTTTCAGTTTTGTTAGTTTTTTTTTTTTTTTTTTTTGGGGGATTTTTTTTCTAAGGGGCATTTGTCTGCGCAGTTTTTGCCATAGGGCATATGTGCTTGCCAGACAGACAGAGAGACAGAAAGCAAGAAATCACCCCCGAGAGGGGATGGCCAGGCCGCAATTCCTTCTCCTCCATTCTCCTCTTATCTTGGGCATGCATGCACACGTGCCCAGCATGAGTTTCAAGCCACCAGGTCTGGGACTTGAACCACAGTCAACTGCTTGGGAGTCCAGCGACATAGCCATTACACCAACTGCTGGTCCCATTAGTTGATCCTTTATTACTATCTTGTATAGCATTTTCCCTCATAACAATATGGAATCCAGTCTAGGATTGCATATTACATTTGCCTATTTAATCTTAATCTGGAATAATTCCCTTGTTTTATATGCAGTTTATATTTTGAAAATATATTGGCCTTTTAAAATATTTCTTCATAGAATATTTATTATTTGAGCTTGCCTGCTTGCTTATGTTTAGGGTGATGGGTCCCCGGTGGGATGATACCACATGGCACGTCGAGTTGCTCTTAGGGGTTCGTATCTGGAGGCCTCCTGCCCATCACTGGTGGAGACCATTTGATCACCCAATCAAGGTGTCGTCTAAGGTGTCATCCAGTTTTTCTTTTTTTCTAGTGTGATAAAGTTTTTAATAAATGTGTATCAGTTGGTAAGAAATTATCTAGTCAAATATTTCTTCATATTCTATGTTGGAAAAACATTTAAAATCTTAATATTCTCTTCAGGTATCCATTTTTGTTTGCTTGCTTTTCTTCATTCATGATGCACCATGTGCATGCCCATGAGAAAGAGAAAGAAAAGAGCACTTTTCACAGGATCTGGTCATGCTGCAATCCCATTCCTCCAGTTCCAGCCTGTTCGATTGTAGGTACCAGCATACATGCCTGGTGTGTTTCAGGCTCACCAGGCCAGGTCTTTGAACCTCGGTCACTATGTGGGATCCAGCTTCTCCTGAGCAGTACATCATTATTGTCACAAAGCTGTCATATCTTTTTAGGTATTCTTTTTTTTTTTTTGGAGAGGTTTTTTTTTCATTATAGGGCGTGTGCACTCGCCAGAAAGACAGAGAGACAGAGAGACAGAAAGCGAGAAATCACCCCCCACGGGGGATGGCCACGCTGCAATCCCTTCTCTTCCATTCTCCTCTCAGGATCTTGGGCACGTACGCACACGCGCCTGGCATGAGTTTAAGCCACTGGGTCTGGGACTTGAGCCGCGGTCGACTACATGAGAGTCCAGCAACATAGCCATTGTGCTAACTGCTGGTCCTTTTTAGGTATTCTTAAAGTGACCATTTCTTTTCCCCTATTGAAAGTTTTTCTGAAAAAAAGTTTATCAAATATTTTAAATGTAAAGGAAATATATTTTATCACAATATAAATATACATAATGGTGAAAATGATGTGAAACAGATAGAGAACTTGAAGGTTATTAATATAACCTTATTTATTTACTGGTATAACTTGTAATTAATAGCATGAATTTTGGGAGGCCAGCAGGTGGCATGGTGGTTAAGGTGTTGTATTCCCACAAGGCCAACTGTGGTTCAAGTCCTGGACCTGGTGGCTTGAAAATCTTGCTGGGTCTGTGCAAGCGTGACCAAAATCCTGAGAAGAGAATGGAAGGGAAAGAAGTGAGGCATGGCCATTCTGCACTGAAGGGGGATTTCTCACTTTTCCCTTTCTCCTCCTCTTTGTCTCTCTGGCAAGTGCACATGCCGTATAGCAAAAAGTAAAAAAAACCAATCAGCTAAACACAACTGTCAGGCTCTGTGTAAAAGGACTACATAAAATATAAATGAATTGTGGGTGTCAACTTACTTGGGTCCTACACTCCCAAGATATCTCATTTTTGCATATGTAAATATTCTAAAATCCAAAAGAAATTCAAAATCCAAAGTAGTTCTGGTCCCAATCATTTCTACTCTAACCTGTAACCTTTTATGCAGCCTGTAATACCAACCCTAAAGCTCTAGGTGGGAAAATGGACAAAAATGCTTAAAGAAATCATTCTAGTACAGGTGGCAGAAATTTTTTTTATAGTTTTGTAAGCATCTAGTAAGGGAATAGCATTTGAGCAGCATAATACATTAAAAGCACACCATGATTCTGTGAAGGTTACATTTTTTTCTTGATAAATGTAAATTGTAACTCAAGGGAAAATAATTTCTTCAGCGGACATTTTGGCAAAGAAAATAACTGAAAGCCTTCATTAAGAGATCCAGAGCTCCAGGCCTGCCTGCCCTCCTCACTGCCAGGGCCAAGACCTGACCCTACCGGAAGCGCTCATCCCGCGAGTTGGTGGGCCGAAACTTCTGCTGTTTAGGCACAGCGGCTGTGGCTTGAGAGGGTCCCAGGATTCGACTCTCTGCCTGCAGAGACGGGTCTACTCCTTGCATGAGTGGTACATAACGCACAAATAGCTTTGTCCTTTTTTTTTCATGTCCTTTCTGAGTGATGTCCCTTCCGACAGCTCCAGCTCCAGCTCCGCCAGGCCCTCACACATCTCCGTGGGCAGCGGTGTCGCCTCCAGCGGGCGCCTGTAGTCGGCCACGGCCTGGCCGACTCTTGTGCCTGTGGGACAGGCACCAGGGCTCGGCTGGGTGGCGGCAGCGCGGGCCGCAGCTCTGTAACTCCCTGCAGCCAGGACAACTGCAACCGCAGGGTGGGGAGCCGCAGGCTGCTGGCAGGGGTACAGTCAGAGCGGCAGCCCACAGCGTGGGCAAGAGCGCGGGCGGCTCTTCTGCCTCTTCTGCGCCCCCTCTCCGCGTGCCCTGAACCTGTCCGTGAGCACCCAGTTTTTTTTTACTTTAGAGTTAAGTGTTTTCTTTTTCCTTTTGCAACAGATTTTCCCTTGCTGCATATTTAATTTTTGAGGACACATATTTATGCAGATTATCTTTTTCCTGTTAAAATGTCCCTCCAGATATGGCATCCACTGATAATTTTTATGAGCACCAATCTTTGCTGTGATGCTTGTAGAATGAAGCTTTTCCAGTGTCAGGGCTCATCCTGCAGTTGTCAGTCAGCATCTGGCTTTCTGTGGTAAAAAGCCTTCTGGGCTATGTTGCAGGACTCCCACATGACACATAGTCGATGGATGCATATGCCCCAAAATCCCGGGAGGAGATGATGATTTCTCACTTTCCCTCTTACTGTCTCTTGTGTCTCTTGCCGACAAGCACACAGGCCCTAAAGCAAAAAATAAACCTCTTAAGAGAGCCTTTTTCTCTCCACTTATCTCTCTGCCTGTTACCAGTTTGAATTTTTGAATTCCATTTTGAATATTTTAAAAGTTGTTACCATTGGGACCAGTAGGTGGCATAATTACGTTGCTGGACTCCCATGTAGTCAACCACTGTTCAAGTCCCGGACCTGGCTGCTTAAAACTCACACTGAGTTTGTGTGCATGCATGCCCAAAATCTCAGAGGAGAATGGAGGAGAAGGGAATGTGGTATGGCCATTCTTCCTGGGGGGCGATTTCTCACTTTCTCTCTGTCTCTGTGGTGAGCACATGTGTCCTATAGCAAAAATCTCTCTATAAAAGAAGAAAGAAGTTGTTACTGTTCTTTTCACATGTAAGATTTTCCACATTTGATTAGGGAGAATTCATTCAAGCCAGCTCCTATGTCTTTTTAACATGCCCCATCACTTTTTTGAGCATTTGCTTTGTGATACAAGATGTTTCAGTTTCACCAAGGGACCTTGGTCTAAAGGAAAATTTTAGTGGGAAGGAAAGGAGCAACTAACACTAAAATACCAAAGTCTGAACAGATGAAATGCTTTCCAGTAGTTTAACACTTGTGGCTTATATTATCACCTCTGTTTCGTGAAACAATTTTGAGTTGCCTATAGGTATACTGAAGTCAGTGTTGCCTATGGAGTTCTGGACAGAGAAGTACAGGTGAGGCTGAACTCATATTTTGAGTGATAGGAGTGAGAAGGGAAACCTTTCCAGAGAAGGTGTAAAACAGCTGTTGGAAAACACCACATTGAGGTAAAACCACATTGTTGGAAAACACCACATTGAGGTAAAACCACATTGAGGTCAATCACTCTTGAACACAAGCCCTCATATCACCATTTCCGATGTCCAGTTTTCCTTTGTCAGAATGTGTGTCTTGTCATTTTTCCCTAATTTCCCCTGAAGCCTGTAACATACCTGGACATATACTAGACCTTTAACCTAGGGATTAAGAGGACCAGATCCCCTGGCTTAACTGCAGTTCAGATGTTGGCCCCTGTGCAATGAAAGTGCCTGGCTTGTGATCCAGCATTCACACTCCAGATCCCTATAGGATTGAGAGATGGGAGAGATTGCAGCATGACCAACCCTAATGGGGGCCGGGGTGCTTTGTCTCTCTCTCTCTCTCTCTCTCGTAAGTGTTTGTGCCCTCTGGCAATTAAGTTAAAAAAAAATCAAGCACTTATTAAGTACTTGGTGAATAAAAGGAAACTGTGAATAAGGCTTTAGTCTTTAAGAATTGAAAAATCAAGACAGAATTTAGGCAAAAATTAAATAAAAAGTAAAATGTACATATAGATAAAAAGGACAGAGGGAGGAATATTGGGATACTGGAAGAATGGTCACTGTTACTTTCTATGTGAAGTGCTCTGGGAGAGTTTGCTTCTCTATATGGAGTCATGAGCATTTTCCCTAGTTAATGAGAAAAAAGTAAATTTCTACTTAGCACAGTCGTCGAGCAACATATCCAAATGAACTCTAGTGCAGCTTCTCACATCAGATTGTTCTTTCAGCATGAAGAATCATGAAAAGTCAAAGAAGCATCGGGAAATGGTTGCCTTGTTAAAACAACAGCTGGAGGAGGAGGAAGAAAATTTTTCAGGATCTCAAATGGATGAAAATGCATTGAATGCCAATTCTGAGGAGGAGGAATTAGAAGATGCACCGAAACAAAAGTACTTCCAGATATTAAATGTCACTAGATATTACTAATCACCTTTAGAGATTGTATCTAAATATTGACTTGCCTGTTGTGCTAATATTTTCTGCAGCTGTTTTAGTTAATGAAACTTGATAATGTTGAAGTGCTTAAAGACATGATGCCAAATACAATTTTTACAGATCATGACTACATTAAAAGCAGTTTTTTTTACTTAGGCTATTCGTATGCTAATTACTATCAATTTAACTGCTGTTATTCTCTAAAATGACAATGAACATTTTCTTTTCCTTATAATGCCTTAAATATTTTAATATATTACTTACCTCTGTATCACTAGTGTTTCAGTATTTTTTTTTCTTTTTACTTGGTAAATCTTTACAAAGTCAAGTATTTCACATTTTGATTTATATTTGCTCTTAGGCTTTCTAAAAAACAGAAGAAAAAGAAACAGAAACCAGCACAGGTATGTGGAAAAAGTTTTATAAACATTAGATACCAACTCTAAAGTTGCCGTGCTATTGTTTATTTTGTATATTCTATATTAAGGAGAAGGACTTTGACTTCATTATTTTATGTTGACTGTATAATTACTTAACAGGAATTGAAAATATTTTCCTTTTTCAAAGCTTTTGCCCCTTTGTTTGTTTATAATGAACTTAATAACCATTGTCAATATGTTTAAAAATTTTGTATGCAGACTTTACCTGTTATAAATAAGTTGAATGAGAATATATTTTTTAGAATTCTGGAACATCTGATGACAGGGCTTTTTAAGTCAGGACAATAATTAAAATCTGGAAATAGGAAAATCTAGAGAGTGTTAACTTTATATCTAGGTTTATTCTGCCAATAACATAAATGAAACTTTGCAAAAGGAACATTTAGGTAGAAACTTATGATTGTAATTCTTGAAAAAAATGTTTCTGTTACATACAAATTTAAGTAGTTTAAATATTTCACAGCTGGGATGCAAATTCAATTTCTTTTAAGGGTGTTTTTTTATAAAATGGTATTATGTTACATATGTGTAACACATGTGGATGTCTCCAAACCTATAGAAACAAAACAAGTTTGTCCATTTTGCTTAAGATAGTTGATGGAATTGATTGTGTGCATTTTAATATTGTCTCATATATCAAATTAAATATTAAATGCTGTTCAGTAAACGTAGGGACCAGCAGGTGGCAAGGTGGTTAAGGTGCTGGACTTCCACATGGCCGACTGCAGTTCTAGTACCAGACTTGGCAGTTTGCTTTCTCACTGTCCCTTTCTCTCTGTCTCTGTCTCTTTCTGTTTCTCTTTGGTCAAATTAAATAATAATAATAGTATATAAAATTAAATGAATTAAATAGAAAACTTAGTTAACACATGGATAATTTTCCATAAAACTTTAAATTTGGCTTATTTATTCAAATGGTTATAGTAATATTTGATCATATTTTTTTTATAAAATATTATTTCATCATTGTTATCATTTTTCTGCTCTGAAGATGATACTTTGTATATAAGTTAATTACTGTTAAAGTTATGATTTAGGGGCTGTCTCTATGATCTGGTGGTTATGGCATCTGGATCCCCACATGGCTAACTGCATGGTTCAAGTCTTGGACCTGGGTGCTGGAAAAACACTCTGGATACTTGTGCATGTGTGCCCCAAATCCCTATAGGATTTAGAAATGGAAGAGAAGGGATTGCAGTAGGACCATTCCCTATAGGGGGTGCATTATCCTTTCTCTCACTGTCTGTCTTTCTGGAGAGTATCCTCGCCTTCTAGCAAAAAAATAATATTGTGATTTGAAACTTTTTTGGTTTGGTTATAAAAATGTATAGCAGGTTGTATGTTCCTTTTATGAACTGACCGTACCATCATCCATCCAAAGACCCTATAATCATTACTTTAGAACACTTCTCTTTATTTTGTGTGTGCCATTACCACAAGAAAAAGGGCAAAATCAGATGGAGAGGGATTTATATTAAAACCAATCCTTCTTTTTTTTTTTTTAAAAGGTTTTTGCCATAGGGTGCAAGCCCTCACCAGAGAGAGACAGAGACAGTGAGAGAGAAAGTGAGAAATTTGTCTCCAAACCTATAGAAACAAAACAAGTTTGTCCATTTTGCTTAAGATAGTTGATGGAATTGATTGTGTGCATTTTAATATTGTCTCATATATCAAATTAAATATTAAATGCTGTTCAGTAAACGTAGGGACCAGCAGGTGGCAAGGTGGTTAAGGTGCTGGACTTCCACATGGCCGACTGCAGTTCTAGTACCAGACTTGGCAGTTTGCTTTCTCACTGTCCCTTTCTCTCTGTCTCTGTCTCTTTCTGTTTCTCTTTGGTCAAATTAAATAATAATAATAGTATATAAAATTAAATGAATTAAATAGAAAACTTAGTTAACACATGGATAATTTTCCATAAAACTTTAAATTTGGCTTATTTATTCAAATGGTTATAGTAATATTTGATCATATTTTTTTTATAAAATATTATTTCATCATTGTTATCATTTTTCTGCTCTGAAGATGATACTTTGTATATAAGTTAATTACTGTTAAAGTTATGATTTAGGGGCTGTCTCTATGATCTGGTGGTTATGGCATCTGGATCCCCACATGGCTAACTGCATGGTTCAAGTCTTGGACCTGGGTGCTGGAAAAACACTCTGGATACTTGTGCATGTGTGCCCCAAATCCCTATAGGATTTAGAAATGGAAGAGAAGGGATTGCAGTAGGACCATTCCCTATAGGGGGTGCATTATCCTTTCTCTCACTGTCTGTCTTTCTGGAGAGTATCCTCGCCTTCTAGCAAAAAAATAATATTGTGATTTGAAACTTTTTTGGTTTGGTTATAAAAATGTATAGCAGGTTGTATGTTCCTTTTATGAACTGACCGTACCATCATCCATCCAAAGACCCTATAATCATTACTTTAGAACACTTCTCTTTATTTTGTGTGTGCCATTACCACAAGAAAAAGGGCAAAATCAGATGGAGAGGGATTTATATTAAAACCAATCCTTCTTTTTTTTTTTTTAAAAGGTTTTTGCCATAGGGTGCAAGCCCTCACCAGAGAGAGACAGAGACAGTGAGAGAGAAAGTGAGAAATTACCCCCCAGGGGGTTAGCCATGCCAAACTCCCTTCTCCATTCTCCTCCTGGAATTCTGGGCATACATGCTTATCATGATTTTCAAGCTGCCTGGTCCAGAATTTGAACCACAGTTGACCATGTGGGAGTCCAGCACCTTAACCTCCATACCACCTCCCAGTCCAAACCAACCCTGTTTTTCCTTGATTCAGAGAGAATAACTTCTGTTGAATGCAATAATGAACACATTTTAGAATTTATTACTGACTAAAATGCTTCATATGATGCTCTATCTCTTGTTTACAGTTCTCATTATGTCAGTCTCAGACCCAGTTCTATGTAGCACTTCTCTTGATGTTGTCTAAGCTGAAGGGGAAGGCTGTGTAGAGACATGTACTGATAGAATTAAGAGCAGGAGGCAACAAATACTGAGCATCTTGCAACTTCACACTGGGAAAGTTTTTGTACAGTCAAGGAAAAAAGTGAAGAAAATTGTGTTAGATGACAAGATTTGTAAAAGAAAACTCCCCAAAACTAGAACTAAATGTAACAGAAACAAATGACCCTGAGTGATGGAAAATTATTAAGAAACTTTTGAACACAGTACCCTGACTGAGCACCTTTACCTCAGTATAATCAGAAGGTAAAATTAACTTCAAAAAAAGTGAATCTCAGACTTCACTTAGTTGGTTTTTTGGTGATGTGTTGGTATGGTATTTCTGGAACTCTCCCATGGATGTTTGGGATAGAGCAAATGAGTAAACACAGTTACATTGCTGGGCACCAGGTTCTCTATGTGGGAAATACTGGGGGGGGGGGCGTAGATTTCTTCAAAGAGTTAACAGGAAGTGTGCATTATGAAAAAACTATGCATTGGTTAGAAAATTTTTGCACCAAAATAAAGTAGTGCTTTAATTCCATTTTCCATGAACTTTTTGAAGTTTCTACATACACACATACAAGGGAAAGA